AGATATTTAGACTGTAATGATATGTTAAATTTTGTAATTTATATGCTTTTATATTGTTCTTTTCTGGGTTTTAAATTTCTGTATTTTTTTCTTGTTTTAAAATTTATTTTAATTTTATGTAAATACCCAGAATCTTATATAAAAGCATCTGTTTCTTTCTCCTTCTAGGTTATTTCCACACTGACGATGTAGAACTTTTTCAGTAGCCATTCAATCATCATTGTGTGCAAATACTGGTGAATCAGATATTTAGAATGTAATGAAAAGTAGAAAATGTTTAGCTTTCTCCCAGTCAAGAAGGAGAAACAAATTATGCTGGTATCTACACTGTAATGATTTTGGTCTCCTCAAATATTATGCACTTTGATTTGCTACGGGAGCATGCATTTGCTGTTATCTCCGACAGAAGAATATCCAGGGCAGCTTAGGAGAAAAAAAAGAACAGGATGTGTCTGTGGAGACTCTCAGTTATCCAGATCACAGTTGTCCCAAAGGTGGTTTTTTTTTCAAGAAGCAACTGGACTTTCTGGCTTTTCTTTGAAGATATTTTGCTTCTCATCCAAGAAGCTTGGATGAAGAGCTGAAGAAGCTTTTTGGATGAGAAGTGAAATGTCTTCAAAGAAAAACCAGAAAGTCCAGTTGCCTCTTGAAAAAAAAAAGCACCTTTGGGAAGAACAAGAGAGTTCTTCATTCATTAAAAGAAATCCTCCTCTATCATATCCAATCTGTCTCACAGATATATACAAATTATATAGAGCTCCATAAATTTCAATAGCACTTAGACTTATATACCACTTTACAGTGCTTTATAGTCCTCTCTAAGTGGTTTACAGAGTCAGCCTATTGCCCCCAACAATTTGGGTCCTCATTTTACCCACCTGGGAAGGATGGAAGGCTGAGTCAGCCTTGAGCCTGGTGAGATTCAAACTGCCAAATTGCAGGCAGCCGGCAGTCAGCAGAAGTAGCCTGCAGTACTGCACTCTAACCACTGTGCCACCGCAGCTCATAAATACTCAAGACCTGCTAGTACTTACCTGCAGATTGGTATCGGAGGCATCAGTTGCTTCGGCCAAGATGGCGGCACCAAAAGGATTGAATCTGGCGGTGGGTTCCTTCGGTTCTCCTGCTCACAGGATCCAATGTATTCGATGGGCTGAAGCACGTGGCATGGCATACTGGCTTTGTGGGAAGCCAGTGGCGAAGGATCTGGAGTGGTCCTCCATATTTTGGTGGGAACTCCGCAGGAAGGGTCAGTGGTGAGATTGTTCATGGCATCCATGAGACTAGATGAGGTGGACAACTGGGTGTAAGTGACTGTCGCTCCGTCTTCTCCCAGGGAAATGTGGGGAGAGGCCTGTGGAGAAGGGGTCCTCGATTGCCGTGGAGAAGAGTGTGGGTGCTGACTCCCGTAGAGCTCAGTGCAAGAGTACCTCCGTTTTGCCCCTGGCGATGACGACCTTGAGTTGGGATGAGGTGATGGTGAACGTGGCCCCAAGCAGGTATCCTCCACGACAGTTGCTTGTGGGGACATTATTGGCGAGGTTCTAGGGGAATAATGAGCATGGGTGTTTTGAAACTGTGGACACAGGTCATCACTAGGGCCATTATTTGGTGAAACGCATGGTGAAGTATAAGGAGAGAAATTTGTCTCTGAAATGAAGCTTGCAGAGGAGCCGCTGCTAGGAGGGCTCAGGCACAGTGGTTCTCGGTAGCTCTCAAAGCCAGGGACCGGCAGGGTAAACCTTGGGCTAGCGGTAGCTGAGCTGGACTGATGCTCTACCAATAGATCTGTGTCTCTGCTGCTGAAGGGCCCCCCTGAGTGAATCAGTTCATAAGATGGTGTTATCTCAATCCTAGGGCTCAAAGTAGGGGGACCTGCAGCCTTGAAAGGGTCCAAGTAGCATTTTGACCCTATGCTATCTGGCTGTCCATATCTGCCCATGTGATCTGCTGAAAGGCTAGACAAAGCGAAGGGGTACGGCTTGAGGCCATAATCCGAGACATCATCATGAGGGTAAGTAACTCCAGTGGGTGGGCTGATGATTTTATGTGAAGGAGTCGGTTCTTCTGGAAAAAGAAGGGTCGCTTTTAAGACTAGATATACCACTGCAGAAGCTGAGCAATCCTGGGTTAACAAGAAGGCATTAGCGATAGCGCTTTAGGAAAAGGTTACATTATACACAGACATCAATTGTATGCATAAAGCAGCAGGTCAGCCTTCTCAGCGGGGAAGCCCACCGGGCACTCTCCAAGTAAGAGCCAGAGAATGAAAAGGAACGTGCCCCCACTGCATCCTTGGGTATTGCACCAGTCTTGAAATATTTCGTCCACCCAATCCAGCATTCCACCATCAGCTGCCTTCTGATCATGCTTTGCTATGACTACTGACAATGGCACATTTGGTGTGGATCAGAGAGCAATTAGAAGCTGCAGTATACAGGCTGGCCCAACCATACCATCAACAGCCTACTCTGTTCTACCAAACAGCCAACTGGTGCACTGGCAGCAACTATGCAACTCCATACTCAGTGCTGACCCTTCAGATAGCTTTTTTCAGAAAATGCACTCATTACAGCCTGTTTCCAACCTCACCCCTGACCACTGTTTGATTGAGTACGAATCTTCAACTTTCATCCCTTTGGCAACCATGTGTTTTTCTCTCAGACTCATCTGATTGCAAATCTCCCAGAACATTAGATTTTAATTTGACTGCGATACAATGTTGAAATGTCCCTCCTACTTAATTTCTTTTTTTTTTTTTAAGGAAAATGGTATGATACACCTATGGAAAAACATACATACTTGCTTCCTACTTTTCTAGCATTCTGGTTCTTGTATTGCATTAGAAAATCAGTAAATCAATGCTATAAACAGTAGACCAGCACTCAATCACATCTATCTTAAGGTGTTTACAACAGATGTTACACATATATGATTTCTAAATGCGAAAAAAGCAGAGCCAAACACAACTCATACAGTAGTGCTTTCCATCACATGAGAGCAATGCAAGAGAAGTCCCTTTACTATGTGTCAGGCAAAGGTGTCAAGGACAAAGCCACCAAGACTATCTCCTGAAGGGCTTGAACTTCCAACCCTAACTGGATAGTTCATGCTATGAAAGACATTCCTCAGCTACTTTGCCACTCATTGCTAATTTAATATTGCTTATTTATTAATGAAATTACATACATATATGCCCATCACACTGTTCCATTTTAGAGTAAGGAATAATTGGCAGACTGCAGAAAAGGAGTAAGAGAGCAGAACAATCTAGCTTATCCTCTGCACCGTTCACTGTTCCTCTCCATATTCTTGCCCATATCAGAGGTGGGCTGCTGTTGTTTTGCACCAGTTCTCACGGACTAGTAGTTAAGATTAGGCACAGTTTGGCGAACCGGAAAATCCCATCACTGGCTGGCCCCACCCCCGGCCATTTTTCAGCCTGTTCTTTGGTCCGTTTGCAGTCTGGTTTTACGCCATTTTCAGTCTGTTTTTCAGGTCATTTTGGCCATTTTTCAGGGCATTTTTGGCCTGAAAAAAATGGCTGAAAGCAGCCCAAAAAACGCCCCCCAAATGGCCTGGATTTTGGGCCGTTTTCAGGATGGTTTTTGGACCATTTTCAGACCAGTTTTTGTGCTGTTTTCAGCGCCATTTTTCAGCCAAAAATGCCTTGAATATGGCCCTAAAAACGGCCTGAAAACAGCCCAAAAACTATCTCCTGTCTCTCAGAGAGCTAAGATCAAACTTCAACAGAAAATGTACAAATCAAATTCAAATAGAATGTACATCCTTCCATTCCGCCCACCCCCCATTCAGTCAGAACTGAAGAAGCTTCATGGATGTGAAGTGAAACATTTCCAAGGAAAAAACAAGAAAAGTCCAGTTGTCTTTTGAGAAACACCTCTGAGACAACCATGACCAGCCATGATCTGCAAGATGATGGAGAATCACCATAGACATTTATTCAACACATATTCATTCTTGTCCTTGTCTCTTGTTTTACCATGCACCCTTCTTAAGTTCACTCCACATTCAACTTACCACACTTCTCCTAACATACAGCTTTGACTCCCATATGAAGAAGCGAGGAGACAAACACCTGGTCATTTTTTGCTTCTTTTGGCAGCCATTAATTTATTGTAACAGTCAGTGGTCAAATATTTCGGTTTGGTGGGTGTGGCTTGGTGGGCGTGCTTTGCGCATGCGCACACACTTTACGTGCATGCATGCGCCAAACACGCACTTTGCACAGGCGCAGAGGCATTTGCACAGGCACAGAGGTGTTCTAATTTGCCTCCTGAAAGCCTGCACGATCCCAGTCACTTCAGCAGCTGCCACGCAGCACTCTTCTGTGCCACGCAAAGTAGCTGTGCTTCAAATTCAGAGGATAAAGGTGAGTATGGGAGCCTGGGTGGGTGGGTGGGCCCAACAGCAGAACCAATTCTGAACCAATTCTCTCTGCTGCTCATCCCTGCTACCGGCTCTGCAGAACCGGGTCAAACCGGTAGAATAACACCACTGGTAACAGTCCGCATGCTACCCATTAACTTTCTACTAGCATTTGCACATCTCAAAATTTCTCCATTCATTTTCAGTAGTCAAACTACTGGTAGTCCTTGACTTACAACAGTTCACTTAGTGACAAAGTTACAACAGCACTGAAAAAAGTGACTTATGAGCATTTTTCACACTTATGAACATTGCAGCATCCCAAGTCATGAGATTTACATTCAGATGCTTGACAACTGTCTCTCATTTATGACGGTTGCAAATCATGTGATTCCCCTCTTGTGACTTTCTGACAAGCAAAGTCAATGGGGAAGCAAGATTCATTTAACGGCTGGGTTACTAATTTAACAACTGCAAGGATTCACTTAACAAAGGTGGCAAGAAAAGTTGTAAAAGAGGAAAAACTCACGTAACAAATCTTTCACTTAGCAACATGAATTTTGGGCTCAATTGTGGTCATAAATGGAGGACTACTTGTACTGAGATTTGCTATTTGCTCTTAGCCCAACCTACCCTACCAGGTTGTATTTGTGTGAAACAAATTAAGAGGAGGGAAATGCCACCTTGAACTCCCAAAGGAAAGATGGTGTATAAAGCTAAGAAATAAAATGGATAAAAATCTCAAATAGGGTCACATTAAAGTTTACATTTATTTTTAAACAACTTACTATTTTTAAGAGTATTCCCTAATGAAAGATTATTATTCAAAAGAACACAAGAATAAAACACTGTAGCTTAGCAACTCCTTTGTTTTCTTCGTTAAATTTTACAGCTGCTTCAATGCCTAGGGATTTTCAATTTACTGTTCTATTATAGATGTCATTTTTTTTTCTTGCAGACAATACAGCTAATTTTGTTTTTGTCCATTAAAAAGAAACACTGATCAGAATGCGTCTTCAAATATGACCCCTTGTTACAAAATCTATATTGTCTATTGTTTTTCTATTGTATTTTAAAATGTTATCAGAATTCAAGTTTTTTTTATAAAACTGAGAACTTATAAAAAGTAAATGGTTTTATCTTTCGCAAATCAAAGGAACATTTAAAGAATTTTCTACTGAAAAATGAAAAATCTAGGAAAACTATTTTTCATGCAAAATGTACTTCTTTAAAAAGGATGGCAATATGTGCCTTTAAATATCTGAAATACCCAGCTGAATAAAACCTTTGGCAGATACATAGCAGCAGCAGTAGAATTTATTTAACCAGTCCCTGATAATATAATGCATCCGTGCAATTTTAAAAAGTATCTCTCAGATCAAGGGTGTCAAACTCAATTTCATTGAGGGCTGCATCAGGGTTGTGTTTGACCTTGGGGGGGGGGGCATGGCCAGAGGGGGCGTGGCCAGCATGATGTCACTTGTGTCGGGGGTGCTCACTTGATGCTTCACAAGTTAATATTTTGACACGTTAGTCACTCATTTCCCTGCGCAAGAAAATTAATTTTAACAGACAACTGAGCGAAATCATCACACCCGCAAGGTTATTGTACACTGTAGTAACAACAGAATACAATCTTTATAATGGCAGGTAGATTTTTGTATGGATGCAAAATATAACACCACCAGTTTTTGCATGAATGTGCTCCCTGTAAGGGACACCAATGCACCTGTCTGAAATGCTGAATTCAGCCTGCAAATGAACAAAATAAACTGCTTGGATTCCAAAGATATATTGGCTCAAGAGTGAGAAGGAAGGTGATATTCACTGAGTCACCACATCTTGCAGCTTGGGCGGGGGTGTTTTTTTTGGGGGGGGGATGAGGGGAGAAGCCTTGCCACTGTCTAAACTGGTATACCGCAATGTATGTGTGTAGAGTTGTAATTGCAGGAATGTTCCAATCTCGGATGGCAAACCTCAGATAAAGAATGTTTCCAAGCAAATACAACTCAGGTAAACAAAGTCACTAATCTAAAGGAGGATTAGAGAGAGGAAGTAAACATATGTTAGACTTTAGAGATAATTAATTGTATGGATTACTATGCTAAACAGTAACAAAAGTTAAGCAGTAACCAAAGTTAACCAATGATGGAGGATAATTAAAAATGTGTATAAATGCAAGACTAGACTCCAACAAAGATCATCATGATTCAGTTGTTCATGATCAAACAACTCGACTGCCTCGTCATTACAACAAGTGGCACCTGAACAGGGACCCTCTTACTTTGTCCGGCAAGGATTTGGTGCACCTTCAACCCTTTGTGGTTTCTTCAACCTTTTGGTTTCTGTAAGTATGGGGTCTTTGCTTTCTGAGGAACAAAGGAAGCACGTAGATGAATTAGGCTATTTGTTGAAGAAAAATAATACTGAGGTACCACAGAGAAATTTCTTAAGGCTGGTCCAGGAGATTGCAGCTCAGTGCCTATGGTACCCAGAAAAGGGGTCTTTAAAATTAACTGATTGGGAACGTATTGGGAAAACATTGCATACTGAACCTCAAGCAAAAATAGAAGTTTTGCATGTGTGGCATTTATGTAGGCATGCAATTGAAAAATTTGGTCACAATGAACTTTCTCTTTTAACACCTCCACCTTTACATTATACTAATGTTGTCATTT